TATAATGGAGAATCAAATGGAAAATAAAATGGAAAATGAAATGGAAACTGGGGGAATATAGGGATTTAATGAACTTAAATTAAGTTGCCATAATGGGTATATATAGTAATTAATATGGTTCCCCCTAATATAGTAACTTAAATTAAGTTCCTTAACAGCAACCCAGCCGCGGCTGCAATAAGGGGCGCCCACAAGTAGCCGATGCTGGTGGTGGCCATGCTCATTCCAAGCACCTGCCCCTGCTCCTCTTTGGGAACTAGAAGGGTCAGGGCACTGTTCATTGCCACATTAGAGGCATGGGATGAAATCACCAGTGGCCCGAGCAGGGCTGCGTACACCACCCCACTGCTGCCAGTGAGGCCTGCCAGGCTGCCGAGACTGCAACCAATTGCAACAAAGGATCCCGCGACTAGTGTGCGAGGACTTCGGCTTCCGATGGCCGGGGCAATGACCGCCTGGGCCAAGAGGTAGGCCACGCCAATGTACGTAGTCATGAGCCCTGCTGAGGATAGGGACATCTTGAAAGGGTCCAAGGCAAACTGCTGTAACAGTCCCAGGACCATGCCTGCACTGCCTGTTGTGACCGTCTTGAAGAAAAGCAACGTTGGCACATGCCGGTGGCGCAAAAGGTCGCCCAGTCCCCTTTTCACCACCTCGTGCTGTGGCAGGTTCTGCTCTTGTGGATACACAACCCAGACCATGAGCAGCGTGCAGACGTCCAAAGCCACAGAACAGGCGGCAATGCCTCGTGGGCTGAAATCGTCGGCCAGTCGAGTAATCAAGACAGACCCTGCAAGGAAGCCCAGGCCGTAGGCAGTCCCTATGCGGCCCAAGGCTTTGGTGCGGCTGTCTCTGGATGAGTGCAGTGTTGCAACTTGTTGCGCTGCCTGATAGCCATGCTTAGCCACAAGGGGCAGACACCCCACATACAGAAAAGGCTTCGAGTGAGCAGTCGCAAAGATGCTGCTACTGAAGATTGCGGCGCTGTGTGCAGCCAGCAGAGCGGCTTTCGGGCCATAGCGATCCGCAAAAACGCCGAAGGCGGCGCCGCCTCCGGCCTGCAGGAGATTGATGCCTTCCTGCATGCGTGCGAACTCCGACAGATTGCCCCCCAGCTCGAAGTTGATCCTACCATTTTTCAAGCGGCCTACTGGTTCGTTCGCAAAAGTACCAAAAGTCCGAAAAAATGCACAAGCAAAAGGCATGTTCAACCGTGGAGAAGGATCCGCGGCAGGACGACATTGATCGCCTCGCTGCAGATAGCATAGAGGACCTGAGACGTGTGAGCAACAACCATGCTCCGGATGGCAACGCCCTCGGGGTCACAGCCCAGAAAGTCTGCTGCCATCTCGGGAGTCAGCTTTGTCATCGGCTTCGTGCGCACGCAAGGCGTTATCCAGGATGTCCAGTCTTTTACCCATCCCAGCATGCTGCTGTACAAGAGCTGAGACTAAGGCAAATAGAGCCAGCCCTCACAAGGATGCATGCAAAGTGTCCTGTGAGGTAAAGCCAGGATTAATCATGAGAAGGCATATCATCAAAGCGACAACAATCGTGATGAACGCACTGCTCGCTGGTAAACTTAGGCAACAACAATGCTGCAATCACAGCAGCTTCAGAAGGCATGAAAATCTGCTTGTCGCTTCGACTGCATAGTTCCCTGGACATGGATTCCTCACGGACTATATCAGGGACTATTCTAAACTACAAGAAGGACCCCTATGTCCACTGTGAAGGGCCCCTTCATAGGCTAAGAATGCAGATTGATAGTACATCATCTAAGCTTACAACCAACTTTTCGATCACCCATTGCCCATGAATCCCTGCATGCACAATGAGAAGCGCAAACAACCTGCCAATCCGAGTGTTTTGGTCATATAGTCCTAAACCCTACAACCTAAGTCCTTAACCCTAAGTCCTAACCCTCAACCCTTTCGGGTGTGCTTATAAGGAGGAATCTATTGCTCTGGCCTTATCCCGGGGCATGTCATCTTAATAGACTCTCAACAAGTTGGGCCCTATAATCATGGAACTTTAGTTACCCTGATCCCTATACTAAGGAACCTTGATAAGTTATAGGCTATAACTATCACATGACTAGAATAGAGTCCTAGTTTCTTGGGTGGGGGACCATGGGCACGGAATGCACGGAACACTTACAGCGCTTCTTATTCATCCTGATCATCTTTTCCCGAAACTTCAGGCGAAAAAACGAAAGACCAACTTTCAAAGTTGGCGATAACATCTCTATTGTGACTTCCCTTCTATTGACCTTATTACTGTTATTCGGGAGTTTCCACAGAAGGGGGGGGGGGATTCCCAATGTAGACACCTTGCCTTGGGACCCCCAAACCTGGGATCCCTGATTCTTGCAATCCCATTTCTACTATCAGCAGTATCAGGCCTCACCCTAAAGTAATGATAGTATCCCCCTTAAGTAGACAGACTATGGGTATATGGGGATCTTGTTATAATATACCCAAAGCCATACTCTATCTACTTAAAGGGGACTATATGCGCCAGCATCCACCACCCACCCCCACCCCCGCAATGGTATCCCCCCTCCCTGTGGCCTGTGGTCTGGGTCTGGTCGTCGAAATTAGTGTTCAGAGAAGGTTTAAAATGTTTGTGAAGGGTTCATAAACTCTTCCCCTCCCCCGTGGTCCTGTGGCCTCTGGTCTGGGTCTCGTGGTTTGCCTTA